GGCAGTGAAGGACAGGAAGGCCTGGCGCAATATGGTTCATGGGGTCACGAAGAGTCGGACACGACTTAATGACTGAACAACAACAAAATGTATAGACTTTTTAATTACAATTAAGCAAGATGTTTAAACTTTGCAAACAATGAATATTCTTTGAGTAAAACCAATTTCCATTTTTTTCATTCCAGCCTACTTTATCTAAAAACTCTTTATCTAGAGAGTTAACAAATCTATTTTTTTAAATGATGGTCAGTTACAGTTCATATATTCATTCTACCCTATGTGTTAAAAATAAAATTAAGACACTAACGGTCCTTGAAGTATTTAAGGATCCTTAAAGTATTTTGAGATGTTTTCTATAAGTCTTGATTCTCATGATCTCTGGACTTTTTTCAGACTTTTGAAACTGCAGTGCATTGGTGCTGTTAACTGCTTAGTACAATTGTCTTGCACAGAATCAGTGTTTTTATGAAAAGGATGGTTGCACATGATTGACTTGCCCTGTGCACAAAGTAGATATGCTCAGCAATATCAAAAGATCAGAATATTTCCAGCAATCATATTGCTGCCTCTCGATTTTGAATTTTCTAAATTTGGAACAAGAAACATAAGTAACTAGGAACTGAGTAACTTTTGATATAATTTTGATGGGAGTCTCTCAGCTGTTTATCACTAAATTCAGCCTACTCTTTTGCATCTCCTATTCCTCCAGCAGTTATTGCAAATGTGGCTTCATTTTCAGGCATTTCAGGACTGAAAAAAAGAAATAAAAATTAATTCCTTTACCTTTCTTTGGTGATCATGTAAATAAATTGAGAGATACTATGCATACGTTATAGAACTGGCTGCAGAAATTCAGATGAACGCTAAATGGGGGCAAAGAGTTAGTCTTCTGTATCTTTTTGCCCCCATATAGTGGTGGTATTTTTGCAGCTCAGAACTATACATTATAGGTACTGTTACTTACCTTCAGAAAGTAATGTAGACACTTTTGTTTAGCTTTCCATACTGATAGAAGCGAATATGTGTAGCTCAGGGTTGAACTGTGGAGTCCTCAGGGTTCTCTGAGCTTGGCTGTTTTCTTGCAAACGTTTTGTTACCTGGCTAGTTAACATCTTCAGTGCTAGAATGGAATGGGGTTTGCTCTGTGTTTAT